AAGAAAATGGCCAGTGATCTTTGCTCACCTAAGAATGGTCTTTCTCTTGCTGGAATTTCAGTTTATTTAGTTGTCATGGCTTTCATGGTTTCTGATATCTTTAAAGATGAAATATTTTTAAAAATCCAATTTTTCCTAGTTGTTGCAGCAGTAGCAATGGACTCTGCTACTGCTTGGAAGTGGAAATTCTTTTGTAAAGATTCCCTTTGGGTTTTCTGTAAGCCCAATAAAATTGTGTGAAAATAATGACATTCTTATTTTTTCAGTGTATTTTTCCTTAACTTTTTACACTAAGAACTTCAGTAGTGTTTTGTATAGGAAGGGTATCAGACATCTTTACTTTTTTCCTGATATTAAAAAGAAAGTGGTTAGTGCTTAACTATCCAGCTGTTTGTTTTTTATTTAATGTCCTTTATCAAATTAAGTAATTTGTATTTTATTCCTCCTGGTTTGGTAGCAGTATTTAAGCATGAATGGATGTTGAGTTTTAACAAATGTTTTTCTTTTAAGGTGATAGAAATTTTCTTTTATTCTGTTAATGTGGATTACATTAATTTGCTTTCAAATGTTAATCTGAACTGGAGTGCTAAACTAAATCCAGTTTGATTGTGATGTGTTACTCTTGATTTATAGTGCTAAATTAAGTTTGTTAATTTTTCCTTTTGCAGTTTTGCTTATTTGTTGAATAAGTTAACATACACTTTAATTTTCTCATCATTTCCTTGTCAGGTTTCCCAAATACTATGCTGATTTAATAAAACTAGTTGGAAAGTATTCCTTCTTATATTGTCTGGAATAATTTGTTTAAATTTGGCCTTATCGGTTCCTTAAATGTTTGAAATCTGTTGGTGAAGGCATCTAGAAATGGAGTTTTCTTTGTAGGGGCGCTTTGAATTACAAATTTAGTTTCTTTAAATAACTTTAAGGCCGTGTACATTTTCTGTTTCTTCTAGTATCAGTTTCGGTAAGTTACATTTTAATTTTTCCATTTTATTTAAACCTCCATACTCTTTTGCCATTAAGTTATTAATAATAGCTATCAGGGTAAAGACTTTAAAAGTACATTTTTAAAAGAGAAAAAACACATTGAAAGTTCATGCTAGGCTGGGATATAGCTAGTGATAGAGTGTTAGCATAGCATGCAGAAAGACCAGGGTTCAATTTCCAATACCACAAAAAAGAAAAGTTCATGCTATTACTTTCAATTCAAAGTAAATATTACAAGACTTTTACCTAGTCACCTCAATTTTGTTTATTTTTTAAAAAACCAACATAGCATTGTATGTTTTTACTGTAACAACATGTTTTGAAGTATATGTATACTTTTGAAGGTTAAATCTTCTAATTTACAAATGCACTACTTCCCATAGTTACCATTTTTGTGTTAAGGTCACCTAACACCCACCTGTACATTTTTTTAAGAATTCAATTAAAGAATTTAAAGAATTCAAAATATTTTTTTATTGGGGCAGGGGGATGCTAAGTTTTTAACTCAGTGCTTTGCACTTGCTAGGCGGGCACTCTAGCACTTGGGCTGCTCTTCCATTCCCCACCTCCCCACCTCTTTTTATACTAGGGTTTGAATTCAGGGTTTCACACATGCTAGGTACGCACTCTACCATTTGAACCACACACCCACCCCTCAAAATATTATTGTTGACTACAGTTACCTTGCTGTGTAAAAATATTTTATAACTTATTCCTCCTATGTAATTATGATGATATATTCTTTGACATCTTCCCATCTCTCCTTCCCCCGGATACTCTGGCCTTCAGTAATTTCCATTCTTTTCTATAGTTGAATAATATGTCATTGTGTATATTTACTATGTTTTCTTTATTCATTTGTCATTGATTCTATGTCTTAACTATTGTGAATAGTGCTGCCATAAACATGGGAGTGCAGATTTCTCCTCGACATGCTAATTTTGTGTCCTTCAGATATATATCTAGTAATGGGATTGGTCTATCATATCATAGTATTATTTTGAATTTTTTGAGGTAAAACTCGTAACTCTGTTAATTTAAATTCCCACCAAAAATGTGCGAGGGTTGTCTTTTCTCCACGTCCTCAACAATACTTGTTTTGTCTTTTTGTTAATCATTCTAATTGGAGTGAGGTGATATCTCTCATTTTATGTTTTTTTTCCTTATGCCAGGCAAATACTCTACCACTGAGCTACATCCCCAGCCCCTTGTGTTTTGATTTGCATTTCCCTGATGATTAATGATGTGTTGAGTATTTTTTCATGTACCCTTTGATTGTTTGTATGTCTTCTTTTGAGAAATCTCTATTCAGGTCTTTTGCCCCCACGTCCCCACCCCCTCTACTGGGGTTTGAGTTTAGGGCCTTGTGCTTGCTCTATCACTTGAACCACACCCCATCCCCCTTTTTCCCATTGTTTAATTATGCTGTTTGTATTTTTGCAATATAATTGTTTGAATTTCTTACATATTTTGGATATTGACCCATTGTTAGCTGTGCAGTTTGCAAATATTTTCTTCTATTCTACAGGCTATCTCTTTACTTTGTAGATTATTTCCTTTGCTGTATAAAAGCTTTTTGCTTTGAAGTAATCACATTTGTTTATTTTGCTTTTATTGCCTGTTCTTTTGAAGTCTTATCCAAAAAATTCTTGCCCAGACCAATGTTATGAAGCATTTTCTCAATTTTGTATTTTTCCCCCTTAAGCTAAAAACTTTGATTTTTAATGGCATTAGCATAATTTTCATGTGCTTCTTGTATAATACTTGTGTACATGTTGCATTTTAAAATAACAGTGCAAATATTAACTTCTTAAATTTAATTTTGTCTTAATGTTAAACATTCCCGTGGTTGTCACATTGAAACTATAATGCTAAAGTATAGCAGGGAGGAGCAACCAAGGCCGAGAGCAATATGCGGGTAACTGTGGGTCCCTATAAATGGTCTCAGCCCAGCTGCTTTAACCATAAGTGTGAAGATGGGATTTGTCATGGGTCGCACTGTGGGCATGGCACCTTCTGCTGTCTCAGGATCAAAATATGGGGTCTGGAGCTGATGGGCAGCATTGGGTAAACCATGATACAGAGTGGCAGCACCTTGGTGCATTCACAGACTTTGGAATGAGTATTTATGCTAACCAGGGAGATAAGTTACCTGCTGCATCTACATCTTCCCATCCATCCTGGCCCTTGTACTATAATAAAATAAAGTCTTTGCTCCTCATTCTCAGCCTGTTATTAACCATGTTAACCTAAGATTTTGCAGATTAAAAAGGTGAGCTAATGAAAAAAACAAAACACAAAATATAGCAGGGAAATCTAAATTTTTTCCCTGACTTTTCCCATTTTCTCCAGCTGGTGTTTTTTTGGAGATGGAGGGCAGACAAATAAATAAGGAAACATATACGTACACATGTATATGCATATACATGTATATTTGTATTTCTTGCCCACATTTCTTCTCCGTGTTTCTTACACCTTAATGTTTTCCTGTACATTCTTTTCTCCACTTGGCTTTTTTTTTTTTTTTACTTACTAGTATCTTGAATATTGCACTTCAGCAGTATAGAGATTTTGCTCATTTTTTATGTAATGGTCTTTTTATGGGTATACTATACTTTGTTCAGCCAATCTCCTATTAATGGACATTTGGTAAATTTTAAAAGTTATTTTGCATTCTCCAGACCACAACATTATTGCAGTGACCAACAGAACTATTTAAGCTAGTTTAACAGCATTTTTATTAAAATTTTTGTCACTCATATAGCCCTGTAGAACTTTATTTTGTAATACGATTTTTCAGAGTGAGGTATGCTAGGGAATCAAGATATTTTTAATTGGAAAGGTAAAGCTCTTTCTTTTAATTTTTTTTCTCCAGGTTGTTTTTCTTATAAGTAGAGAAGACCAAGCCTTATGCTCCTTGTCTTACTACAAGTGTCTCTGTGTAACATAAAAGGCTTGTACTAATTATAGTACCATTCTCACCCTTCAGTTTGTAGTACTAATTTAATCTCATTAATTCCTTGCTCAGGTAATAGGACTCATCATCTTTATAACACCTCAAAGACCTATTTTCTCATTATCATTTATCAGCTTGAGAAAGGTGATACATCTTTATAGCTGATAAATCTTTATCAGCTTTAAGGAGGTATCAACTCCCAAAGTGGACAGAGTATTATTTATGTTAAATATGAAAAAGTAAGTTAGATTAGTAATTCAGATTTCTGTGATTTTAGTGGATAAAGCATTTCTGTCAATCTCAATAAGACCAGTTGTTCCCTTTGTTTATTCATATTTACCTTCTGTTTAAAGAATCTTACTAATCAATCATCATTTCCTCTGAATCCTCCATGGAGTTTCAGAGTATTATGTGATCTTAATTACATAGGCTTTTCTCCAACCCTGCTTCTGTGAACCTATATTTCATTCTTAACTTCTAATATTTCTTTAGCATTCTCCTATTGCTTATCCTGGAGAGAACAAAATGCAGCCTTAGTTTTTCAAGTGCAAAGGCCTAGAATATAATTTACCTCCTGCTTACTTTCCTCCTCTTTTATGCTGTTGTTTTCATTGTTCTGTATTTTAATTTGTGTCATAACCTCACAGGGCATAATTACTACTACTGTTTTTTAAAGTTGGAAATTCATATGCCATACATACTATACCCTGCATTTGTATTATGTCATTTAATCCATAAAACAATGTTATGCAATAGAAATTATTACCCTTATTGTAATGGATGAAAAACTAGGGCATAAACAGTTTATGTAATTTATAAGTTTACATAGCTAGTAAGTAGCAAATTTGAGATTTAAAACCAGGCAATATGAGTTCAAAGCCTTGTCTAATAACCAATACAAACTCAAGTCAGGACTAATTTTTTTTCTTTCTCACTGAAAAAGAATGGTACGAATCAAAAAGAGCTCACTAAATTAATTATAAGATTTTTAACTGTTGAGTTAATGGGCTCACCGTGACCAAATATGAGTAAATTTAATTTTTAAAAATTCTTTTAGCTGATATAGCCCAGAGATACAGGATAAGCAAATACCCAACCCTCAAATTGTTTCGTAATGGGATGATGATGAAGAGAGAATACAGGGGTCAGCGATCAGTGAAAGCACTTGCAGATTACATCAGGCAACAAAAAAGTGACCCCATTCGAGAAATTCAGAATTTAGAAGAAATCACCACTCTTGATGTAAGTTAACTTTGGGTATCTTAAATGAACATTGCTTTTTTAATTAATATAAACAAATTCTGATACAAAGAAAGAATCTAGACATTCTCTTTATAATTCATTGCAGTGGACTTGACATATATGTACTTGGTTGAATTTTTCTTGAATTAGTACAGTTGGTTGTATTATGGGGCGTGGGGGGGAAATCACAGGGCTTGGGGAACTTGCCATTTCAAAGCAAGCAGTAACTCTGCTTAATGTTGCTTGCTGTAAGCACAGCTCTGAAAAATGGCTGGAGAGAGATTGGTCAGGCTCTTCCATTTTAGGCAGATACAGTAAGACATTTAGGAGCATGAGAGGCCCTTGGAGGAGTTTCTGCCAACAGTCACAAATTATGAGTTATTGCACTGTATTAATAAATTTTAGAATTAGTCATCTTATTTAGGAAAAGATTGTCATCGATTAGTTACAGTTCTTGAAATTTTAAAATAAAATACTGGAAGGAAATATTTATAGTTAGATTTTATTATAGTTAATACTGTTTTCAACCCAATGTAATCTTTAATAGTTTTGAATTTATAGTTATACTTCAGTTGGAGGTAATAGAACAATAGCTGTAGCTATTTGGGTACAATATAAGTGGTAAATGAAAAAAATGCTTATAAAACTATATGTTTTCAAAATAATTAAATTTACTTTATTTTACAGCGCAGTAAAAGAAATATCATTGGATATTTTGAGCAAAAGGATTCAGACAATTACAGAGTTTTTGAAAGAGTAGCAAGTATTTTACACGATGACTGTGCCTTCCTTTCTGCCTTTGGGTAAGTATTTTAATTAAGAGTTTGTCAGTAGGTAGTGTGGCTGCCATTTTAAGTTCTTGTTGTATTTGATCAGTTTCTGAAGATGACCTCTCCAAAGATCATCTCAGTATTCTTAAAGTCACCAATCAATCTTTATAACTATCTACGAATTCTTTTTCTGGGTTTAGAAGTCTATTTTGTTCTAGAGTATGTTCTATTTCAGAATGTGTATAAGAGAAACAATGCACTCTTTCATGCTTTTTTTTCAACTCATTTATTGATACTTAGTGTATGTCAGGCAAAATACTAACCTGTGAGTGGTTAGCAGACTGAAAGTACATGCTGTCTTTCTAGTTAAAGAAGCATGAGCTTTGTCATCTTCCTTCATCTCCATCTCTTCACACCTTTCCTTATGTCTTCCTTGTCTGAAAGGAATAATTCTTTTTTTTTTTTTTTTGTGGTGCTGTTGCTTGAAGCTAGGGCCTTACTCATGCTAAGCACATGCTCTACCACTGAACTACACCACCACCCGACAATTCTCCTAAGACTAACCTCTTCACTGGTGTCCTTGTAACTGTCCCCCTGAGGCTTTGATCTATCAGTTGTCCTTGCTTTCTCCTGTTTTCATGCTGATCCTTTTTATAATTGCTTTCTATTTTTCTGAAAACATTTTTCTCTTTCCTGACTCACCACTTTTATCTTTTGAGCTATAATATCATCTCTTTTTCATTGCTACTTTCTTTTTCAAATATTAGATCATGCTTGACTACCTTGATTTTCTCAAACTGGTAAAAGATCTTAACCTCCTGGAAACTGACTTTTTCCTCCATCTCTCTGATGAAACTTGTCTCTATACAGTTCAACATGACTCCTTAACTACCAAATCCTCTTCAATTTCTCTGAAGGATGTGAAACTCCCGTTCTCTGCTGTCGACACTTACTTTACATTAAATACCTCTGGTTTGCTTCTTAATTTCTGACTTCTCTGACATTCTCTCCTTTTTTGTTCTTTTTCTCTCCAAAGGTAGTCACTTTTATGATTCTGTCCTTGACCCCCTCTTCTCATTTCAGCCATCTTTTGACTTCATGCAGTGTTATTTCTTTATTATTTTTTGACCCATAACTGTTAAGTTTAATTGCAGCAGCTATCTTGAGTAAGGCCCAGATTTCTGGCAAAGTATATCCTCTCCATTTTGTGACTTTTATTTATCCTTGGTCCTTGCTTTAATGCATTTGTAGATCTTGTGTGTATGTTTTCTGTAAGCATTGTCAGTGTTTTTTGAAGATCACTGTACAGAGTAGATGGGGAAACTCCCCTTACCCAGGCTTTTCACATCACTGCTCTCTAGCCACACAGACTTACCTTGCTGTTCCTCCAGTTCTATAAGCTAAGCTCACTTCTGCCACAGAGCCTTTGCTCATCAGTAACTTTATGTGAAGTGACATTTCCATCATCCAACTTGTCATTTTTTAATTTATTTATTCTACTTACTTTTCTTCATAGCACTCTTTTTTTTTCTTTTGGTGGAACTAGGGTTCAAACTCAGGGCTTCACACTTGCAAAGCAGCACTACTGCTTGAGCCACACCTCCAGTCCATTTTTGCTCTTGGTTATTTTTTTTTATTTTATCATTTTTACATTTATGCACATGTATATGCATTGTTTGGGCCACCTCCCACCCTCTGCCCCAACTCTTGATTATTGTTGAAGATGGTTTCTCACAAACTGTTTGCCTAGGCTGGCCTCAAACTGTGATCCTCCCAATTTTAGCCTCCCAAGCAGCTAGGATTGCATGATCCACCGGAGCTTGGTGGTCTTTCTCTTTTTAAACCACCTACATCTTAGACTATTTCCTCACCAAAATAAAAACTCCATGAAAGTGAGGGATTCATTAGTTTACTTCACTGTCTGTAGCCAGTGTCAACACTATGTCTGATACAAAGGAAGTATATACTAAATAGTTATTACATAGACAGATGAATGGATGGAGCATGTTCCTTTTTGTTCCCACTGTCATCAGTCTAGGTTAGTATACTTGGCCCCTATCTCCTGGATTACTATAGTGAAAAACTAGAGATAAATTAGTGTTTATATAATCTATAAATTATCTAGAGAAAGAGAGTTAGCCATTGGACTTAGAATTTGCTGTAAGATTCTCTCACCAAATATTTTTTGTGCCAGATCAAATAGTTACATGCCAGATACTGTATGAGGCACGGGAAACAACAGTAAACAAATTTTTTAAATGATTTTTATGGAACTGTGTTTTCATGATGTAAATTATTTCAACTCATCTGTTTTTAAAAGTATTAGTTTTTTTAAAACTAAAGTAGAAAATTCATGGTTAGGTTTGTCTTTTTTCTTTTTGTGGTACCAGGGCTTGAACTCATGGCTTGAGCCACTCGGTCAGCCCTTTTTTATGATGGGTTGTTTCAAGATAGGGTCTTGCAAACTATTTGTCCGGGCTAGCTTTGAACCACGATCCTCCTGATCTCTGCCTCCTGAGTAGCTAGGATTACAGGTGTGAGCAACTGGCGCCTGGCAGAGTTTATCTTTTTAAAAAGAAGTAATATTTACATATTTTATAAGTCTGCGTGACCAAATTAGTGTCCTTAATCCATAATTGGAAAATAGTCTGGGGTTAAAACAGTTTTAATGTTAACAGTGCCAATCCAAATTTGTAAAATACTAGTTACAAAAACAGCTGAAAAAAGGCTACCCTATATTAAACTTTTCCTTAAATGTTAACTTGTCTTAGAATTGCATAGTTTCATAAATGAGAAATTTGATAGACAAGAATGCATTTCAAGTCTTTATAATTTGTACCTTTCAAAATAACTTGCTGATTCTGCTTCATTTGGGTATATTATTGCTAGTATTTTTCTTTTAAAAAAATTATTACTATGTTTTCCTTCCTGTTAGGGATGTTTCAAAACCAGAAAGATATAGTGGAGACAACATAATCTACAAACCACCAGGGGTGAGTTGCTGTTTCTTAGTGTGTACAATAAGGTACTTAAATACATGAGTAGTACAAGCTGTACTTTTATGTTTTAATGTTTTTAGAATCATAGAATGATAAAACAGAAGGGCACTTCAAAGCACCATCTTAGGCTGATCCAAATGTTTCAGAGTAAAGGTAGGACCACAGAAGCTTAAAGTCAGTCAGGCCTTTAGTGACATGACTGGGATGAGAGATCTCCTAGCTCTCAGGCCTTTTACTTCTCTCTCTCTTTTGCATTCAGTCTGGGAGCCAAATTCAAAAAATGTTTCGGTGACCCATGTTTGTCACTCTTACCTGTAACATGCTAGCCAGACTCCCAGATCTTCTGGTATGTAGATTAACCTAGTACTTAGTAGATAATAAGAAATAGCTCACTTGGCTAAGAAGTTTCCAGTGTGCCTAAGTGTAGAAATAATCTGCTTCAGTATCAACTAAGAGACAAAAATCATAGTACGTGCTACCCCAAATTGATCTAAGATGAGCCGTCGCAATTTTTTCATTCGAACAGAATTGAAATCTATGGCTATTTTTTCAATTTATAGTTTTCATTTTAATGTTGTTTACAGTATCTTGACACCTTTTAATTTTATATAGTGAGATAAATTATTATTTTTTTTTTAGAAAGCTCATTTCATGTTCTGAATTCAGATTATGCTTTAGTCTATTTTCTGTTGTTATAACAAAATGCCTGAGGCTGGGTACTTTATAAAGAAAAAGAGGCTTATTTAGCTCACACTTTTGGAGACTGAAAGTCTAAGATCTGGTGTTTGACCTCCTATGAGGACCCCTTTTGACTGTTCCAGAGTGATGAGTGGCCAGAAAGGGGGAAAATCCATGTGCAGATGGGGTCTCATGGCAAGACAGAAAACCAGAGACCAGGCAAGGGCCAATCTTGCTGTTTTTGTAACAACTTACTCTCACAAAAGCTAAGTGGGGTCCTGCAAAAACTACATTAATCCTTTCAAAGAACAGTCCCCCAGTGGCTTAATTACCCTCACCACTTTGTACCCATTAGTTCTACCACCTTCATATCACTACATACAACCAAACTTCCAGCACACAAACTCTTGGGGAACACTATAGATGGGTATTTGCCTGTATTTACTATAAGTTCATTTCTTTGTCATCAGCCCTAGACTTTCAGAATCTGGTAATGTCTTTCAATGTAATTTGACTTTTAATAGAATGGGCTCTAATGTCAGACTGTTTGGGTTTGAATATTAAATCTTCTACCTTCTAGGTGTATTACTCTGGAAAAGTTTCTTAGCTTCTTTGTACTTCAGTATTTTTCATTAATAAAAATCAGGGGTAGTAATTATAGGACTTATAACATGGAAATACTGAGAGTATTAAATGAATCAACACATAGAAAGTGTCTACTACAGTACTTAGACACAGTAAGCCTACTCAATTCGTTATTTTGATCATAATTTTAAATACTACATAAATACTAATTTTGTGTAACTGTGGAAACAAATCTGTAGGTAATAAATACTAGAGATACATATGGCATCTTGTCTTTTTTAATACTTTCTTACTGTTCAATTTTTCTTACCTTTTCAATTATAAAGAATAGCTTAATCATTAATTATTCTTTTCACAATGCCTGCTTGCCTTTGGTAAAGATATTGATTGTTATTTTTTCTAAATACAAGGAAAAGCAGGTGGTTTATACATCACAGATTGAATGATCAAGTTCCTGATAATCAGTTATCCTTCTTACTGCCTATGGCCTTCTTTCTCATAAGTTTCATGTTTTGTGTTTCTTTCATATCTCCTGTAGAATTTCTGACTTTGTAGATGGAGTTTTAAAAGTGCTTTGCCTGCGCAGATTAGATGTGCTTAATTTTTTTTTCCTGTTCTTATAATAGCGTTCTGCTCCAGATATGGTGTATTTGGGATCTATGACAAATTTTGACCTGACTTACAATTGGATTCAAGATAAATGTGTTCCTCTTGTCCGAGAAATAACATTTGAAAATGGAGAGGTATGGGTTTTTTTCATGTATATTGTTATTTCTAATTCAGATGTGTAAAAAGTGAGCTTCCTCTGCCCATTGTTCTGTTTTAATACAGTTAACAGTTATAAAAGTCAGAGTGAACACAGCTATATCACAGCTATTTCCACAATCTAGACCAGGGATTCTCCATCTTTTCTGTCTCAGAAGCCCTTGATTGCATTTTCAGTAATAGCAGTAGTTCTCTACACACTTGAAAATGGGTTTCACAGTACCTCTCAGGAGATTGGTACCCATCCTTGTTTAAGTGGATTTGCAGTGCTTTGCAGTTAGAATGGATAATTCCTTGCCACCCAAAGATTTTGGGGTTCCTATTTGTCTTAAAAGAAATACAGACAATTGAATTGTTATTCTTAGTCGTTTTCATTTTGATCTTATCCTTAATTTTGAAACAGAAAGTGGCTTGGACTCTTCCTGCTTATAGTTTGTCAAATGTATGAAAGCCCCTGATGTTTTTTTCAGTTTTCTGGGCCTCCTATATGTTTAACCTAATTACTTACATTTTTTTACTGCACTTAGTCCTCAAAGGCTCAAAAAGATACAATAATTTCTTATATGATTCCCTTATTTGACAGTTCTTTCAAAAGTAGTTTCAAAAGCAGAATCTAAAGGTTCATACCTGAATAATCTTAATTAATATCTCCTCTTCCCCCATATGGTAGTTGGGACATTTATAAATACAATTCTTGAGATTTATTATATGTTGTAACCAACCACCCATAAATCATTTAAACTACAAGGAAAGATTTGTGTTCATTAAATCTGCTTGTCTTAATATCCCTCTCCTGAATCTTTCAATACTTGCTTGGTAAAGAATCTGCTAGTATGGACACAGGTAAACTCAGAAGCCCAGTAAGCATAAATTATGGCTACCATGTTAATGTTTGACCTTAGTAAATTAATTGACATACATATTTTCAGATTACTAATCTGCTTTTTATTGCTCCCCTAATAGTTGAATGTATATCCATACTTTTGTTGAGTCTGATAAAATAATGTTTTATGTGCTTTATTTTTAATTTCCTGGCTCTTAAATTTCCTTAGAGGTAATTGCTGAGTTTTCTTTTCCAATTAGTATTTATTCAGTGACATTTGTTCCTTTATTTTTGCCATATGTTGATTGCATATAATTGAGTTCAGAAATCTAAGCAAAAACAGGAATGAAATATGATTATCTGTCTTCAGTTCAGTATATCACATGTATAGGCAAAACATAACTAAATACATGCCCTATGCCACATGACAGGGCACTGAGAAAATGTTCTTGGCATTCTGAGGAGAGAATCCATTTCTACCTTTAGAAATGAGTGGGATCAGGGAGTGTTTTAAGAGAGGCATTTCAATCCTGAAACAAAGTGCTAAAAAAAAAAGAAACAGAAATGCTGAAGGAGCTGGGGGAGAAGGAGGAAGGGCTGGAGAGGAGGGAACTGTGCATTAATTTTGCGTGTTTAGGGTGTGATGAAGGCTTTCATATGGAGATATTAAGCAGGCATTTGAAAAGCTAGGCATGGATTCTGGTTTGGAGCTGGGCTTGTACACATAGCTAAGGGATCAATTAGAGCTAATGTTTGAAATTGTCATACTAGGTGAGATTACCAGGCTAAAAGGAAGTCCAAAGATAGAACCATTGGGAGTAGCATCAGTAAAAGGGTAGGAGAAAGAAAAAATGTGAGCCCTACAGATAAAAGCAAAGAAGAAGAAATTTTAAGTCAGCTTACCAAGAGATTAATATGAGGCCAGAGGCCAGGGAGAGGGAAGATGGAGAATGAATGCTAATGTGTATGTATAGGGTTTTTTTCTTGAGTGAGGAAAATGTTCTGAAGTTATTGGTGACATTTGCACAACCTTATGAATATAAAAGTCACCACATTATATGTTAAAATGGTGAATTTTATGGAATTACGTATTATATCTCAATTGAATGATGAATAGGGTGAGAAACTTAATGATTTACATTGTATGCAAGTGAGACTGGTTTAAATATGGAATAGGAACCCAAAAAAACCTATTTATTTGTTTATTTACTTTTTCGTTTTTGTTACTGGAGTTTGAACTCAGTGCCTAGAACTTGGTAGGCAGGTGCTCTACCACTTGAGCCACTCCTCCAGCTCAGAAGACCTGCTCAGAAGCACTTAAGATATGTCCGAGGTTTTTTGTTTTGTGTGTGTGTGTGTGTTTTTAGGATAAAGACCATTTGTGCTTTATGCTGAGACAATTCCTAAATTAGAAAGATCATTAAAAAAATAGTTCAGGGAAAGAATTGCATTATGAAGCCCAAGTCAGAATTTAGTATTTGTTTTTGTTTGTTTGTGGTACTGGGAATTGAACCCACAGCCTAGAGAATGCTAGGCAAAAACTGTACCATTTGAACCAGCAGAGGCTCTACCACTTGAGCCATTCTGCCAGCTCTCTTTTGTGTTGGGTGTTTTCGAGATAGGGTCTCGTAAACTATTTCCCCAGACTGGCTTCAAACTACTATCCTCCTGAGTAGCTAGGATTACAGGCGTGAGCCACTGGCACCCATGTCATTCTTTTTTTTGGTGGGGGCGATGTCTCCATTCTGCATATAAGAGCATGTAGTATTTGTCTTTCTCAGTCTGGCTTATTTCTCCTGTTAGAAATGAATTTGGGATATCAGGGTATCATGAGAGAGGTGACACAATTCAGAAGTCAATAGGCAAGGCAAAATTTACTTCTGCAGAAGGGTGTGCCACAGACAAAGAGTCCAGTTTGCAAGTACACTGGGTGTGAAGTCTGCTTAGGTTTTATCTCTAACACAAGTCTGCCCCTCACCCTGTTGACAGATAGGGCACATGTGGCAAGCGACCTTGGGGCAGAGAGAACAAAGATTTACTTGAACAATAGTTGCCTTAAGCAAGCAATTTTTGAAACTAGGGCACTTGGTGATAACAGGAACTTACTCAGCTATGAAAACAGCCCTGTTTAAAACATGAATTTACAGAGTTAAGTGACCTCTCACAAGGCACATAGGCAACAATTTGGGAAAGTTAAGCTGACATCTATATAATGATAATATACTATACATTAACCCCTTTGACAGAAAAGACCTGACTTTAGTTGATTCTCATATACCTAACATGATAATTTCTACTTCTGTCCATTTTCCTGCAGTTTACATCATTTCACTCTTCTTTATGGCTTAATAATACTCCATTGTACCACATTTTCTTTATCCATTTATCAGTTGGTTGACACCTAGGCTAATTTTATAGTTTGGCTGTTGTGAATAGTGCTGCTATAAAATGGGTATGCAAGTGTCTCTATTGTATGCAGACTTAAATTCCTTTGGCTATATGTCCAGGAGTGATCTAGCTGGATCATATGGTAATTTTATTTTTAGTTTTTTGAGGAGCTTCCAAACTGATTTCTACAGTGACTACACTAATTTGCATTCCCACCAACAGTACATAAGATTTCCTTTTCTTCCCGCATTCTTGCAGACATTTGTTATTGTTTGTTTTGTCGATGATAGTCATTCTACTGGGGTAAGATATAGTCTCAGTGTTGTTTTGATTTGCATTTCCTTTATAATTGAGGATGTTGAACATTTCTTCATGTATTTATTTATTAGGGAGCTGTTCATTTGACCATTTATTAACTGGATTGTTCTTTTGGTATGAAGTATTTGGAGCTCTTTATGTACTCTGGATATTAATCCTTTATCCATAAATAGCTGACAGAGATTTTCTCCCAGGCCCTAAGCTGTCTCTGCTTTTTTATTATTTTTTTAATTGTTGTAATAGGTGGGGGTACATTGTGCCGTTTACAAAAATTCTTACAGTGTATCAAATATATCATACTTGAATTTACCCTCTTGATTCTGGAAGTTGTTTCCTTGGCCATGAAGACACTTTTTAATTTGATACAATCCCATTTGTCAATTCTTGTTCTTATATCCTGATCTATTGGAGTCTTACTCAGGCATTGCCTATGCTTATTCTTTCAAGGGTCTTCCCAATGTTTTCTTCTAATATTTCAAAATGTCAGGACTTACATTTAGATCTTTGACCCATTTTGAATTAATTTTTGTACAGGGTGAGAGATAGGGATCTGGCTTCAGTATTCTACATGTGGATATCCAGTTTTCCCAATACTGTTGGCAATAATAGCGCTGATAGTTTTCGGTTCTTATTGCAGCCTTAAGCTTCCATTTCCCAGGGTCACGGTCCTGCCTCAAGTCTAGCCTGAATCCTCCTTCTGCCCCAACCTCCAATCAGCATGAACCATAAGATCCTAACCAATCAGATCATGCTGAGTCTCACTGAGGGGTATTTAAGCCCCTGCCCCTCTCTCTCTCTTCTCTCTCTTGGCTCTCTTGGTCCTCTCCCTCTCCCACCTGGCAATAAAGAATCTCTTGGCCAGATCACTCCTCTCCACGTGGTCATTTTGGGGCCTATATTTCCTTACAAATACCATTTGTGGAAGAGGCTGTCTTTTCAACTTAACTGTTTTTGAAACCTTTGTCAAAAATTAGATGGCTACCGTTGTGTTTGCTTATTTTTGGATCTTCTGTTCTATTCCATAGGTCTATATATCTGTTTTTGTGCCATTACCATAGTATTTTTGTTAGTATGACTATTTGAAGTATAATTTGAATAGTATATAATTATAATTTGAAGTCAAGTATTGTGATACTTCCAGCATTGCTCTTTTTCCTCAAGATTGCTTTGGAATTTTAGGACTGATTCTGTGAAGAATGTCATTACCTTAAGGGGATTACATTGAATCTGTACATTGCTCTTTACTGTAACCAATTTAACAATATTAATTCTGTCAATCCATGAACATAGGAGGTCATCTGGTGTCTTCTTTAATTTCTTTCTTCAGGTCATTCACTTCCGTCGTTAGGTTTATTCCTAGGTATTTCAATGTTTTATGAAGCTATTGTGAATAGGATTATTTCCTCTATTTCTTTCTCGGCCTGTTCATTACTTGGTATATGGAAATGCTATTGATTTTTTCTATCCCACTACATTCCCAAAAGTGTTTAAGAGTTTTTTCGTAGAGTCTCCAGGATCATATATCATCTACAAATAGGAATACTTTGACTTCTTCCTTTCCTATTTGAATCCCTTTTATTTCTTTCTCTTGCCTTGTTGCTCTGGCTAAGAATTCAAGCATTATATTGAATTAGAGTGGAGAGAGTGAACACTTGTTTTATTCCTGACATTAGAGAAGATGGCTTCAGTTTTTCCCCACTTAGTACAGTGTTGGCTATATTATATATTGCCTTTTATGTTGAGGGATGTTCATTCCATTCCTAGTTTGTTCAGGGCTTTTATCATGAAGAAATGTCGAATTTTATCAGAGGCCTTTTCTGTGTCTATGAAGATGATTATGTGATTTTTGTCCTTTACTCTGTTTATATGCTCTATTATTTTTATTGATTTCCATATGTTGAACCATCCATGCATTGCTGGAATGAAAGCAACTTGATCATATTGTATGTTCTTTTTAATGTGTTGTTGAATTCTAGTTTGCAAGTGTTTTATTGATAATTTTTATGTCTATATTCATCAAGGAAATTGTTTATAATTTTTTTGTCATGTCCTTATCTGAGTTTGGCATCAGAGTAATACTGGCTTCATAGAATGAGTTTGGTAGTATTCCTTCCCTTTCTGTTTTATGGAATCATTTAAGGAGCATTGGTGTTAGTTCTTATTTAAAGGTGTGATAGAATTCAGCAGTGGATCCATCTGATCCTAGTTTTTTCTTTGTTGGGAGATTATCACCGCTTCAGTTTCATTGTTTATTATAGATCTGTTTAGTTGATATATATCCTCCTGGTTCAATTTTGGCATGTCATATGCATCTAGAAATTCATTCATTTCTTTTAGATTTTGCAGTTTATTAGAATGTAAGTTTTTGAAATATTCCCCAGTGATCCTCAGAATATCATTGGTGTTTTTTGTGATATTCCCTTGTCATTTCTAATTTTATTAATTTGGATCCTCCCCCTCTTTCTTTTGGCTAGTGTGACTAAGGGTTTGTCAATCTTGTTTTATCTTTTCAGAGAACCAAGTTTTTGTTTCACGGATTCTTTGTATTATTCTTTTAGTCTACATTTTGTAAATTTCTTCCCCAATCTTTATTATTTCTTTCCATCTACTGCATTTGGGTTTGGCTTGCTCTTGTTTTTCTAGGAACATGAGGTACATACTTAATGTTATTTGAGATCTCTGATTTTTTAGTGAAGGCACTCGATAGCTATAAACTTCGTTTATAGCACTGCCTTTTCTGTGTACCAAAGGTTCTGATAAGTTGTGTTTTCATTTTCATTTGATTCTAGAAATTTTTTTATTTCCTCCCTATTTTTTTCAATTACCCACTGATCATTCAGAAGTGAATTGTTCAGTCTCTATGTGTTCAAATATATTCTGTAGTTTCTCTTGTTATTAATTTCTAGTTTTATTACATTGTGGGTCTGATAAAATATAGGAAATTATTTCAGTTTTCATGTATTTGTTAATACTTGATGTATGTCCTAAGATCTATTTTAGAGAAAATTTCAAGAGCTGAGAAGAATGTGTATTTTGTGGCTGTTGGATAGAATATTCCGTGAATGTTAAGTCTATTTGATCTGTAGAGTCATTTAATTCTGAAGTTTGTTCAATTTTCTTTGTTTTTTAAGGCAAAGTCTTGCTTTGCAGCTCAGGGTACCCTTATACTCATTTGTAGCCCAGCTAGCCTCAAATTCACAATCCTCCTATCTCTTCAGGCGGCATGAACATATCAGGCTAGAATTTAGCATTTGTTAAAGAGAATACATGATTAAAATCTGCTGTCTTCTCAAAACATTTCTTGTATTCTCCAACAACATTAATAAAAATTTTAATGGGACTTTTTAATTTTAAAGATGTTTGTGTGTGTTTATGCGTGTGTAGAGATATGTAAAAACAGACATATAAAGGGGCAGGTATTTGTTAATAATGTTGATATATTGTGTGTTGGTTGAAAAGTGACTGTGTTATAGAGATTTTGTCTTTTACCTTGAATAGAACACTTAACACCTTTGGGTAATAGGTCTCATATAAGTAGAATGGTTTTTGTAATAAACCTTAGAGTTAGTATTAGTTTGTGAATCAGATTTATTTATTGCTGGTACACTTTGATTTTCACTTTTACCTGTGAAGACTAGAAATGTTAATCTTGTTTAGCCCCAGTCTTAAATTAATAATCTTGATAAAGAGCCAGCACAGTTCCTTCTTTGGTCAACCCTCAACATTATGGTCTCACTTGACTGCCCTCTAAAAGCCTTGTATCATATCCAGTACTGCCTAACAGACTGTCGTCAGTCACGGGTTCTGTTTAAAGTTTCTGCAACAGAACAGGGTATGTGGGTTCTCTTGAGTGCCTAGATACCTAGGGTAGAGAAGAGAATGAATTAATTCTTTCATTAAAACTAATATTTATTTGTGGCATTTGACTTTTTTCTCTGGGATCTTGTAACTATTGCATTGCAGTGTTTGGGTCTGTAATTGTTCCTACCTGGAAAATAACTGGAACTGAATGGAGAGGCCCTGTATTCTCATTGAATGCTTCTCTCTTTAGGAACTAACAGAAGAAGGACTGCCTTTTCTCATACTCTTCCACATGAAAGAGGATACAGAAAGTTTAGAAATATTCCAGAATGAAGTAGCCCGGCAATTAATAAGTGAAAAAGGTAGACAGATTAAGGTGTTTGTTTTCATTCTTTCTTTCCCTTTTTTTCTTTCTGCCTCTCTCCCTCCTGTTACATTCATAGCCACATAAACATATTTGGGTTAAAAGCATAGTAATCATTTCAACATTTACATTCAAATGTGGAGTGAGGAGACATTAGTAGAGAAGTGATATGAAGCAGTGAGTTTTTTGTTTTTATTTTCTGTACCATGACTGTTTTAGAGAGAAAAAAATTAAATAGCATGAAAATAAAGTAGGGTCTGGGGTGAACAATATTAGTTTGGGGCACTTAGTCTCCCAGTATCTCGAAGCTTGACTGGCACCTTTTTCAGTAGGCATTCCTGAAGATACTGGAGAGGGCTTACACAGTCTGATTCATATCTATTTCTAAATGAATGAAATTTGAGTTGCTGTTTGTGATTTCTCCAGAGTCTCTAAATGGAATATGAAGCCTCAACAGGTTCCCTCTCTCTACTTAGGGATGAAAGTCAAGCAAAATAAATTAATAGTATTGTACAGAGCATCCCATTTTATTCACTTAGGAAATAGTTTGAGGTTAAATTGAAATAACATTGAAATGTTATGCCATTTAGGTTTTAGTTTTTCTGATCTACATTATTCTAAAGAATGTTGGTGCTTTTTGTGTCTTTGTTATGTCATTTTTGGTAAGTTTATAATCTTAAGAGAATATAATCAAGAAAATTCTAATCTCAAAATTCTGTTTCTTTCAAAGGTACAATAAACTTTTTACATGCAGATTGTGACAAATTTAGACATCCTCTTCTACATATACAGAAAACTCCAGCAGATTGTCCTGTAATAGCTATTGACAGCTTTAGGCATATGTATGTTTTTGGAGACTTTAAGGATGTACTGTAAGTATTCATTTTGCTTTTTAAAAAAAGTATTGATATGTGCCACAAAATTGAACTTAAAACAGTTGTTTGACTATTTTAAATAATCCTATATTGTAAAAGTAATACTTTGTTAATTAAGTGGAAGAATCTAGAATGATTCCTATTTCTTTTCACTATATAGTGTGGTATAATTGACTATGAGAATTATGGTAGATCCATGTATAAACACCAGTATTAGGTGGTCGGGATCAGTGATTAATGTTTGAGAAGTACTCTCTGAAAGAAAGTTTGTGTCCTTTGAGAAATCAGTTTTGCATTGAGTTTGATCTTTGCCAGAGCACATCAAGGAAAATATATAATCCTAGGTCAAAGGATTGCTGGTAATATTGCTGTTCACTTGTGATTGTATTTAGTGAGAACATCAGGAGTATGTATACATGACCTAGAATTTTGCTGTTGTTACTACACATTTCTAATGGCATAGAGCTAGAACCTTTCCAAGAATAGTTTCGCTTCCTGATTCTGTCTTAGATGTTTATAGTATTAATAAACATGTCATCCTTGTAACTAATACAGAAATTGAACCCATATCACCTTCCAGAGATGTTAAACACAATGATTAAAAGTGGAGGCATTTCTTAATGTATGAAAATTTTAAGCAAAACCAATTTAAACAATTCAAATTAGACTTTAAAACTCATTTAAACACCTTTTTATTTCAAAAGATTATTGCACTGCTAGGGAGGATAATTTAACATCATACTGCAGAATAAATTGCTTCACACACTTCAAAATATCTCAGTATAGAAGTATTTGTTCAGTAAAAGATTCTCAGTCCAAACACTATACAGGAGGCCTAGATTTGAGTCCTGCCTTGGGCAAGTCACTTAACTTCTCTGTTCTTTTTTCCTTATATATGAAATATGATTCATGGTACCACCTTGATAATAAGATTTCTGTTATATAAATGAGAGATGATGGATGTATTATAAACCATAAAGTCATGACAAATCTTAGTTTTTCTTCCTTTACTTACACTCAGAGAGATGATGGTTGTTTTATAAACTGTAAGGTATGTCAAATTCTAGTTGTTCTTACATTACTTATTTATACTCAAATGATATCATTTGACCTCTTAATTCATCAAATATTTATCTAGATCTTCTGTATGACAGTCATTATGCCAGAACTCAAGGGTTTAAAGTTTACTAAGACTGGATCTTCTGGAGGCTGGGGCTGGCCTAGTTCTAGGGCAACAGGTGTGGAATCTATGTCTGCAAAGGCTGATGTAGAGTCTAGAATCATGAGTGCTGGTCTGGTGCCAGAACCACTGGAGCTGGCTTGGAACATGGAATCCTGGGTTCTGGCCTGGAGCCTTGAGTGTGCAGCTGTTGGCCTAGAGGTTAGATCTATAAGAGTATCCTGGGTTCTGGAGTACAGCTAAAAACTGGGTCTGCAGGAATGGTCCTGGAGCCTGGATCTTTGAATGCTGGTCCAGCACTAACGTCTCCTGGGATGAGTCTGGATGTGGTGTCTAACCTATTTCTGGTGCCATTCTGGAAACAGTCTGTTGGGTAGACCTAGACCCTCAGGCTGAGTGATCCACCTGGTGCTAGAGCAGATTTGAAGACTCAGTCTTCATGTACTAATCTGCAGCTTGGGGTTGGTGTGGTGCTTAGCAGGTTTGGAGCCTGTATTCTTGAATATAGGGAGAAATAAGTCCCTGCTTCTTCACATGTGCAGACACCAACATAAGGCAACAAAAAATGGGGGGTGGGGAGAAGCAAAACACCTAAAGAACACAATAGTCTTGTAGTAGCTGATCGCAAAGACAGGGAGATATATGAACTGCTTGATAAAGAATTCAAAATAATTGTTTTGTGGAAGCTCAGTGAAGTGCAAGAAAATACAGAGAAATAATTCAGTGAAATTAGGAAAACAGTAAGTGACCAAAATGAGGAAATTAACAGAGATTGAAATTGTGTGTGCATTTGTTGTATGTATGTAAGTCAGGCAGCAGTTCTGGAACTGAAGATCACAAAAAGGAAGAAAGATCTCAGGTACAGCCTAATGTTACATCTTTAGGAACAAGAAAAAGAACAAAAGGTATACCTTGGAAATACAAAGGTTATAGCTGAGTGCCAGTGTCTTACACATGTAATCCTACCTACTCAGGAGGCAGAAATCAGAAGGATCGTGGTTGGAAGTCAGCCCATGCAAGTAGTTCGAGACCCTCTCTTGAAAAAACCCATCACAAAAAAGGGCTGGTGGAGTGGTTCAAGGTGTAGACTCTGAGTTCAAACCCCAGTACTGAAAAGAAAAAAGAAAAGAAATACAGAGGTTAAGAGACCACTATGAACAATGCGCCAACAAATTGATATCCTAGAAAAAATGGGCAAATTCCTAAACCCAGAGAACTCACCAAGGCTGAATCATGAAGAAAGTTTTAAAATATCAAAAATGAGCAAGGAGATTGAATCAGTGCTGAGAAGTCTTCCATTTGCAAGAAAGAAAGAAGAACCTGGACCTCATGGCTTCACTGCTTAATTCTACCAAATAGTTAAAGAACTAATACCAGTTCTTCCCAAATTATCAAAAAATTGAAGGGAGGGTACTTATCATTGTATAAGGCCAGCATTATGCTGATACTAGTCAAACAAGGACACTGAAAGAAAAGAAATTACAAAGTAATGTCCTTGATGAATGTAGATCCAGAAATTCTCAGCTGAATAGGAGCAAACTAGAGAGCCCAGAAATAAATCCACTCATTTATGGTCAATAAATTTTCAACAGAGATACAAAGAACATGCAGTAAAGCAAGACAGTTCCTACCAGTCAGCAACCAAACTCTGCCCAACTTTGGATTTTATTCCTAGAAACGTTGTGTTACCCATCAAAGGAATTCCAGTTAGGCTATCTTTAGTTTTCTCCTGCAGTTGTGAAGTCAGATTTAAAACATTTTGGTACTTCAAATCCCATTTTGATATCTGCTTCCCAGAGAACCCAGACTAGCACAAGTGGTCGTATTCTTTATCATCCAACCCAGTCCACTTACTTCCCAGCCATAGCTCACTGGACCAAGAGATAGGTTCTTGACCAAGTGGAGCAAATCCACCAGCTGGCAGCATTCTGTTTATGCCCTGGTACAAAAAGAAACTGCCATCAGGATTCTTCATAGAAATCTGGATATGGGAAATAATCCATCCCATCCTGCACGTGTTTAGTTCTTTAAATAGGAAAGGAGATGTGAGAAGTGACTGTATTTGAAACTTTTTGAAATCAATTACTTCTTTTATTTCTCCCTTACAGTGCCTGATTTGTCCTTCTAGGCACTGTTCTCACATTTTTATAATAGGAGCCACATGCTATGTGAGCTACAACCTATGTGAATAAATGTTAAAGTTAAAAATCAAAACAAGCAGCAAAGTGAATCTGACACATTTAATGACTTGTATAATTGTTATTGTGTTGCATGGTAATTAAGGATTAAATGATAAGCCATTGCCATAAATTACTATAATTGCTATTACTTTTGCTTAGTAACTCAGTGTTTCTGGGGTCATCAGGAGGAAGAATGATTGTGGTGAGAGAGGAAATACAGATTTATGATGCACAGTCACCACCCATACTAGAGGTGGGCATTAGGAGGTGAAAACTGCCAGTGTTTTGTGTACTTCTTTCTTATTTCAGAGCAACTGAATCTCAGCAAAGTAAAGTAACTTGCAAAGCCACACAACTAATTAGTGACAAAGCTAGGATTCACATCAGAGTATATTAAACTCCAAAGTCCTAAGCTCATAATACTATATGGTAACATTGGCATTTTTAGAACTATAAAAAGACTGGCAGAGTGGCTTAAGTGCTAGAGCACCTGCCTAGCATGCATGAGGCCTTGAGCTCAAATCGCAGTACCACCAGAGAGCAATGTAAAGTGAATGTGAAAGTTGTTTGAAGAGCCAAACTAGATCACAAATTTGTGAATCCCTAGTTTTTTCTGTTGTTTGATTAGATTGGTTTCCTGCCACATCTAAAGGAATAGGTTTTACATGGAGATAGGAGGGGAATGGAGGTAATTTGAGAACCTAAGGACAGCTCTAAGGATGTTCTACAGCCCTCAGAAAAGAATAAATGGTGGGATATGACCTAAGATTATTGAAGGACTTTCAAGAAAAACAACATCTTTAAAAGGGTGGCCAGTGAATACCTTTACATAAGTGTTCTTAACTGTTTTTCTCCCCAAGTGAGAGGGGAGAAAAAGCAAGCAGGATAGATTTGTGGTCATTTTGGGGAAGTTTTCGTTACCATTGGAACCACCAAAAAAATGGAGTAAGTTAATTCTAATGATAATGAATTTCCCAACTCTGGGCTATGTCATTCCTTCCTAATCACTAAATCACTGCAAATTATTACTAGAATTCCTTAAACTAGTCAGTCTGGGGGACTTTGCTGCAGCTAATTAGCTATGTTACTGACAGAGTGAGGGTGGGGCAGTTGTAGTAAGCAAATTGGCCAGGGGAAGCAAAACTAAAATGCGGTGGTAGGGAGATGGGTATCTCTCAGTATAGCAATTTGGTTAATCACTATGACAGATTAATCTGCCTCCTTGACCTCAGAGAGAGCAAGCCAGGAATTGTGAACACAAAAGGATAGGGGATGAGCCCAGTGCCTCTCATATGCTAGGCAAGTGTTCTACTGAGCTGAGCCCCTTACCTCTTTTTATTTTTTTAAGTTTGAGACAGGCTCCTGCTAAGTTGCCCAGCTAACCTCAAACCTGCACTCTTCCTGCCTGAGCTTCCTAAGAACCTGTGGTTACAGGTATGTGCCACCATGGCTGGCCTGACACAGCTTCTTAAAAGCACATTTATCACAACTGCCTTGTGATAGCATAAGTGGCTTAATTTGCTCAATATAAATTCAAGAGTTTGACAACTTTGGATACTTCCGACTGTGCTCTTGAATTTATACCAGTATTTATCAACTACTCATTTGTCCTAATGTTGCTCATCTCTATTCATTCT